ATCGTCCAAAGTCATCTCAGACTCTTCTCTAAAATATTTTTACTACTGAAGTTTGACTAAAGTGTGTAAGTGTGAGAACTGCACTGATGGCTTGTGTAAACTGCTTCTTCTTTTCTGTTTCTATATCAATCTGCTTACCACAGCAACTCCTTCTCTTTTTTTGCCTGTTCCAGTAATCAGATCATTATCACTAAATTTTTTTTTTTTTTTTTAATTTTAGTTTTTTAGCACATAGCGTGGAGATGGTCTGTAGAGATAAGCAACTTTATCTTTTAAACATCAACAACTTTTAAGTTTGCTTACAGGGTCAGAACAGGGAGGAACATTTGATGAAAATAAAACATGTTTTCAAAGCCACTGTTAAAGCCGTAGTGGTATTTTTAGGTACTCATGATGAAACTCTGTATCAGCAAGTACCCGTAAGAAAAGGTATCAGTGCATCCTTAATTATCACCCACCCTTTTTCATTTTGACTTTGCTCTCAGTTTTCTTCCATGGATGCAAATTAAAGGACAATGTGTAGGATTTAGTAGCCTCAAGCAGTGAGATTGCAGATTGCCACCAACTGAATACTACTCGCCTTACGTGTGGAGGAGAAACCATGTGAAAGGCCCTATCTAGAGCCAGTGTTTGGTTTGTCCATTCTGGGCTGCTGTAGAAACATGGAGGTTCAACTTGGTGGAACTGCTTCTTTTGTAGCTAAATGGCTCATCAAGGTAACGAAAACATTTTTCAAGTAATTACACACTAATGAAAACATGCCTATGAATAATATATTTCATTTCTGCCAATAGAGCCTCCTAAAGTTTACACACTGGACCTTTAAGTGAAAAAGCTATACATATGAACATTGTGTCAATATAAACAAATAAAACTCAATGAAAAGTAATCTCAAAAGTAAAACTTCCAAACAAATGAATGGTGTAATTGTTTTTTCCTCTTTGATAATATGTCCTTTTGTATACAGTTCCCTCTGCTTCTTTCTCACTGATCAGACTTTTACCCTCACTGTTGGTTTTGTGCCATTTGTTCAACACACAAATAGGACTTCCTTAAATTTCCGTTCCAGTCTTGTATTTAAAGAGGAGATTAGAAAAAGGTCAGTTGTTGGCTGATATACCGTATACTCAAAAAGAACAGTGTGGTTTCCATTATATCAGGAAAGCCAAGTTTTACAACCATTATAATAAAAATAGTTGATGGTTTTGAGACCACCAACATTTTGAAATGTAAAAATCATTAACTTTTTGACAGTGACCTCTCATTCTTCATGTGCATGAGAATATTCTGTGTTTACGCATTGTCTCCGATGGATTTAATCCGTTTTATTACATTGAAGCAGCTTTGATGAAAGTCTAATATTTAATGTTTAAGTTCTTTATTTGTCATATGCACAATAATTACAGGTGAAGCAGTCGTTGGCAAATAAATTCTTTGTTCTTAAAAATTTTTAAGCCAAGGTATATAAAACAGCACAAAAGTTAAAATACATCAATAAATACAACAAAATATATAAAACAGAATAGAAGAAAATTAATTATAATAGATTTGTGTATGGTGATAAAACCTGGATGCATACTGAATACGACCATATATATATATGTCCATTGTTATTGTTAGAAACAAAACAAACCACCAACAACATAAAAATGGCTTTAACCCTTGTGTAGTCCTCCCGTGGCCCGATGATAAGGAGCAAGGTTTTTAGGACAAAAAATAATATGTAATAATAAATAATAAATAAATAATATATTTTTTTCAGCTTTTTAGGCAAGTAAAGACCAACACATTGATATCTAATTTTCATCTTTTTTTTCCAGAAATATAGGTCAGTTTTAGTCAAATATACAATATAGCCCCATTTACGAGTGAAAAAATGTAATAAATCCTGAATATTTTTTTTCAATAGTTATCGTGAAAAAATAATTTAGTGATGGGTATGGAAGACCACAGGTGCTACAAATATTCATAAAACACATATAAATTTGTGAAGAAAGTTTAATTTTTTTTTATAAAGGATGCAGAGGGACACAATTCCTGAAAATTTCAAGCAATTCTATGAAAGTTAACCTTTAATAATGGTGTGACAAAAATGATTTCTGGTCAAAAAGGACCTGTAGACAAAGGGTTAAGAGTATATAAGGTGATTCAGAGAATATATTTGAGTAGCTACGTGACTCTATATGACAAGGGAAGAGATCTGACCACAAACAAACAGTTTGTCACTGCAGTAAGATAAAAATATCAAGTAAAGGTCACTGGTGTCATCATTATTTTAACTTGAGATGGTGTGAAGATGTTCTCTTTGACCCTGTGATAAGGAGCAAGGTTTTTAGGACATGTAGAAAAAAATAATTAACTTTTTCTTCACCTTTTTAGGCAAGTAAAGACCGACACATTGCTATCTAATTTCCATCTTCTTTTTTTTTCAGAAATATAGGTCAGTTTTAATCAATTATACAAAATAGGCCTCATTTACGAGTGGAAAAAAGTAATAAATCCCGAATATTTTTTTCAATAGTTATAGTGAAAAAATAATTTAGTGATGGGTATGCACAGAGTGGGATATGTCAAGTTTTGGTGAAACATCTGTTTTGAAAGCATTATACATTTTTGGATGGCAGCAAAAAATAATGATAAAATCACACCTGTGGTCCTGAAAATGAACCGTTTAGAGCCAATATAAACAAAACTTATCAACTATTTTTAGTTTCAACTTCTCAGTCAATTCACAAAACATTGAACAAGAGCCTCTGTTGCTGCGTGGTGCCTCCTCATTTTGCTATCTGAGACTCAAATGAGAATTTTCAGGGAGCCTAAACTTCTAAACTTTTTTTTTGGTTGTTTTTGTTTTTTTGTTTAGTCCTTTTGAACAAGCAGGCGCATCAACGGTAGAAACAAATTTGCTTACAAAGGTGCAGCTTTGAAAAAATATCTGCTGTGTGTGTGCGTGTGGCTGTGTGTGTAGGTGTGTGTGTGGTTGTCTGTGCATGTGGCTGTGTGTGTGTGTGTGTGTGTAGATGTGTATGTGTGCGCATGGGTGCGTGCATTCACACATGCTTGTTTAGAGACATGCCTGTGGGTGTGCATGTGTAAGGTAATTGTGCCAGAAATTACAATACCGTGACCGTTACGCTCCATTTTGTGTGCTGGGTCCATTTGTGTCCTGGAAGACCACAGGTGCTGTAAATATTCATAAAACACGTATAAATTTGTGAAGAAAGTTGAAATTTTTTTTTTATAAAGGATGCAGAGGGACACAATTCCTGAAAATTGCCGTTGTTTTTGAAACATAAACCTCAGTGCAAGGTCCAACTTGTTTCTGAAGCTTTTAACCACCTCTTTCACATCTTGCCTTCATCAGCAGATGAGGATTTACTTGTTATCACCTTATTTAGGTATGAGATTGTGGTCACATGATAACAGTTCGTTTGGGTGGGAAATCAGATCACCCCTGTTTCTGTTTAAAGATGGCGTGTGCTATTGGAAGTGACTGTCCTCCTCCTCCTCTTCCGTCTGCTGACTGGTTGGCTATCTGAGAATAAAACACAACTGGATGAATTTCAGTTTCTCTTTATTTATTTTATTTTATTGGTGTGAATGCAGGGTCTAATTCATGCACTGTTCAACATAGAAAATCTGTTTTTAACTGTCAATGCTATTTAAACTCCTTTCATTGCTTCTTGCCTCTCGTGTGAATCTCTTGTAAATCCACTACACTCATGCAGTTCAGCTCCCAGCTATTATGAAGCAATATGTAGAGGTGGGACCAAGTCATTGGTTTGCAAGTCATAAGCAAGTCTCAAGGCAAGTCCAAAGTCC